GATGGAACTTTTAAATCATGATGATTCAAAATGGGACTAACCATTTTTTTTTTTTTTTTAAATAAAATAAACCCCTTTTCTTTAAGTTGCATTGTACATTATTTATAGACGCTCAAAGCTAGTCGCTCCACTCAGTATAAAATTATTACAAACTATTATAGTCGTTAGAAGTWTACCAATTTTTTGTTYTATATTTTCGCAGTTCTTTTAGTTGAATTGTACATTATTTATAGACCTTCAAAACTCACCAGTCGCTCCCATCAGTATAAAATTATTATAGACTATAGTGGTCAGAAGTAAACCAATTTTTCGTTTTATATTTCCACAGTACCTCAATGTATATCTAAATCTCAATCCCTCCTCTCTTAAACATGTATTTGAAAATACAAGATTTGATAAATGTTATTTAATAGAAGTTACTATTTTAACTTTGAAACTCTTCAGAATATATTTTTACTAAAAAAACTAAATACAGCACAAAACTCTGCGAACATGAATTATTTGGTATAATAATATGTATCTTGAATTTACTTGAATTAATTTTGAACTATAAAATCTGTAATAAAGTTTAAAAAATGAATCTATTAGATAAATTCTGAAGATCACCATTTTTTTAAACTTTATGGGTCTATTTCTATAATGTACATTTTAATCTCTGCTAACATAGATTTTCTGATATATGTATCAAGATACAGTCATTAATATTTTATGATTCTATGGTCTCTAGTAGATTTTAATGATCATATATTTCACGTTTACCATGAGATTTATAATTGATGGTGGTATTAAAATATAATATATAGTTTTATAGTAGGTATTAACTATAATTAGAACTACTTACTGAAATTAAAATTATTTTCGAACTTAACAATCCACCCTATAGTGTTTATATGGAGTGGAAAAATTTTTTTTGCACAATACAGTGTTATGCTTATTTGTACAGCATCATTGTTTTATCAGTTCTACAAATCATAAATATTTTTTATAACTAGGTATACGGCAAATGCATTGTATTAATTGCAAAAGGATTTTTATGTTACAAATTAATTTTTTCATATACTTATTTTCATCCAACAAATAATTTTCAAATAATTAATTGATAGTGAAATAATATCAATGTTAGATTTGTACAACAAACAGATTAAATTCATCGAATTGAAAAAAAAAAGTTATTCTATTTAGGATTTTATGTACCTATTTATTTAAATATTAAAGTCTTATTAACAACAAATAATTCATGACAATGCAATTTATTTTTATACACGATTTGTATTGGTAAAACGAAATGAATTTATAATTTTCATCAAGGTAATTTTGAACGATCAGTATTTAATACTTTTACAGTAAATTAATCTGTACTTGTCTATATTTAATTTATATGCTTTGTGGTGCATAATATTATATGCAATAGTTAAAGATATATTATATTTTTTAACAATTATTGTGCTCACTAAAACAGCTTCTGTGATGGTATAAATATATTTTTGACCAAGTAAAATTCTATTTTACAGAATGTAATATAATTATTATATATATTTAATCAAGTTTAGATTATAAAAAAATATTTGTTTATGAAAAATGTCTTCTGGGTAAAGATATGATATCACATRATATCATTTTAATCATCTTAAATGCAAATATTACTTGTAACGAAATGTGTACATCAGTGTATCAGTATTTGGATTKTATCATTAAAAATATTCTTAATATGTATATAAAAAGACRTGGATTCACATAATATAATATTGTATGAGATTGTAGGGAAATTTTATGCAAATACCAATAGATATATAACATAATATTATCTGACATAAAAATCAGAAAATGTTTCATGCAGTCTCTATTTAAATTTGATGTAAATATTTTATATTTTAGATACAAAAATATCTTTCTACATATATATTAATAATTTGTTCAAACCGTCCAAAAGAACCGTTTATCAAATTACTTATAAACACAATGCCACGTCCAGTCATCCAGGCATCTTCGGACTAGCCTTGCAGGTATCTGTAACGTTTCGTTTTGTTTTTTATTTTTATTTTAGAACACACTCGTGAGGTGTTTACCGGTCCGGTACATGCTATGCGAGCCAATGAAAAGTTTATACACAATTTATTAAGTAGCATATTATATACTTACACATATTCTTGAAAGCTATTCGTGGTGATACCGTCCGGCCACTCAGCATAGCAGATGACCCGCTGGTCACCGTTAGGAAACTGTTCCGTATGCGTGGTGAAGAATATCAGGTTTGGTATAGAAAGTATTGTTCCCACCACCCAAATGCTGGTGGCTATCATCAATGTCGTCTTCCGGCCCAGACGTGGCCTTAGAGGGTGAATAATTGCTATATACCTGCAACATGAAGAGGTTAGGTTAGAGGTGTGGTATATATAGGGTTAATGCAAAACCTATTCCGCCATTTTAAATCAATAACTTCTCGTGGGACATATAGCACACACTAWCATACAAATACGTCTACGCACGAAAACCCACGCATACACTCAAGTCTAATATTGTAGTTAGGTATATTAAATATTATATTTTAATGCTATTAAAATGTTTCCTTTTTTACCTGAGCTTTACTTGAATTATAATATTGTAAGATACTCTAGGTAAGTCTAAACAGAAGGTTGTAGAGTGGAATTAAGTCACATACCTTTACCTCAGAGAGATCAAACGATGCAAATGTCTAGATTATTAATACAACAGTACAAGTTTCAACATAACATTATAGTTTGAAAGAGTTTATAATATATTATCAGTTACATTAAATTTCGATGTGTTGTTATATCACATTTTTTAATGAAATGTCAGATTATACTTTAAAAAAATATAAGTACTTTTTAAAAACTGATCAAAATTTTTATATTTTAAAATATAATATTTTAAATAAAAACAACAATA